CAGCTTTGGTTCAAATCTTTAATGTGCCACGTTTATTTTCAGGACTCTAGAAAATTTTGTTCCTGAATGTGCTGCATATACTTTTAGTTATAACATGCTTTGCAGCTCTAATACTGTATCAGTGTATTATAAAAAGTGAGCTTGTGGCTGTCCAGCTAGGAACAATACTCACCTAGCTGCTCGTGCAGCTGAGCAAGTCCGCGTACAGAACATGCACCAGAGCACGTGCTCTGGGAGAGTCTTGGCTGTGGATCTTTGAGACTGTAGCACATCTGCCTTCCTCTCCCTTCCTACCTTCTGACACACAGATGTGGTGATGAAACCACATCCCTGATGGTTAAAGACCTGTAAAAGAAACTGGTAAGTAATAAATCTTGAGCTCATCTTACAGAACAGCAGATAAAGGGACAGCTTCCTTTTTTCTTTCTTTCTTTTTTTTTTTAAGCCCTCTTCTTGCAACACACCCACAGTGACTGAAAACACTGGTACCAATATGGCTGAACAGACTCTGAGCAGAACAGACTTGTTTGTCCCATGGGTCACCTTTTTATATCACAGCATGCTTGTTTCACACCAATTCCCCATGAATCTGCACATGAATCCCATGAAGAAACACAGAACTCAGTTAGGCCTACACACACACCAATGAGCTCACCTTTTCCTCACTTCCAACAACTTTTTCTCAAAGCCTAAGTTCACACTGCTCCTTTATCCCATCAATATTCCAAGCACCTCCCCTTCTGGGGGGCAGAGCTGAGACTTGCTCCCCTGCTTCCTTGCTTGCTTGCCTTTCAAATAAACTCTTTCTCTGCTGCAAACCTCAGTGTCTCAGCCTTTTCGCTTGCAGCTCCTCAGGCAAAGGAATCCGGTGCCATAATGGCAGACGTCAAGCTTATACCTGTTGGGTAAGTACAACACCTTGAAGCATACACAACAAGGCAGAAGGAATCTCAATCACACCCCAACCACCAAATCTGGATCCACCGTAGTCAAAGACAAGGGAAAAATAGTATGACAAAATAATAGTGAATATGTCTGGGCTATAAAATCAAGGATTTTATAGACACATGTGCTGCTAATGAAGAAAAATCACTAAGTGAAAAACAAAACATGTTTTTATAAAAGAATGAGAAAAGAAATGAGCACATAAAATATTTCTGAAAACAAAGAAAGATTAAAGAACTCTTTCTTCACAAAATCACCCCTGACTGACAGGCCCTTGAACTCTCCTGTCCCAACACTACTTGTCCCAAGTTCACAACTGGGTCAAGGACACAACTAAGAAACCCGTGGAGGAGGGACAAAGTTGTGTTTGTTCAGCCAAGTGTGAAACCTGTCTTTCCCTGACTTCATCCAAGTTCCTGCCTGCAATGGGATGTAGGAAGTACGGAAGAAAGGATGAGAAGAAGAAATAAACAGAAAGTGAGAGAGAGGAAGCAAGAAAGAAAACAAGATAGCAAGAAAGAAAGAAAGGAAAGGAATTAAGGAGACACTCTTTGCCCTTCCCAGAAAGGGCAAGTCCTTTCGCTTTCGTTTCCCGTAAACCAGACAGAACACTGGTTGGAAGGCTTTAACACCCAGCTCACCTTTCATCTTCTAAAGAGAAGAATCTGTTTGCAGAGGAGCCAAAGGGCAGAGGAGCCTCTGCGCCCCGGGCAGCTGAGAGCCTGATCCGCGGTGTATGACCAGCGCCACGTGAGTTTGTTCCTAAACTTCACCTTCCTTGCACATTGCCATTAACTAGTAACAAGCATAACAAGATTCCCCCCAACGCAGACCCAGCGCTGCAGGCCGGTGGCTCTGGCGCCAGTTACCCGGGAGGGAGAGCAGCTGGTCTGGGGCCAGGCTGGGCGGGCTCAGAGGACTTGTGAGGATGCAGGTCGGCTGCCAAGCATGTCCTGGGTCCGGGGCTACAGCAAAGAGCTGTGCATGTGAGAAGGAAGAATGTGTTCTGCCTCAACTGAAGAAAGGGGATGGAGGTCCTTTTTAGCACTGATAGCCCTTCACCAGCCTCTTCCCAGAGGCACTGGATTGGGTCCCTCCCAGGTCAGGTCCCTCCCACCTGAGCCTCCTCCCCACCTCAGACAGGTCCTGCCCCTGCCCCTCTGGGCATTGGAGAAGCAGAGAAAAGATGGTCCTTGATATATAAACAGCTTACATCCTGAAAGACTGACCCTGGATTTGTTGTGTTAACATTTGCTATTCCAAATACTACAGAGCTGGATTATGTGCAGTAATTAAATGTGGCTCTCAGTTAAAAGCTGTTAAAGGTAACTGTAAGTCTAAGCATGTTTGTTTATCATGGATTATTTTTAATGAGTAGCCCACACATGATCTGCATCAGGATTACTTTGTACTTGCCTAAAACACAGGGCATGTGGTATTTTTAACCATCACCCCAGACAACTCTCAGGAATAAGCTTTGCAAACTGTTGATCATCTTCTGCCATCTTGTAGCACGATTCAACTTATTTAGTTTCAAAGTTAAAAGGCTTCTTGGTTTTGGCACCTCAGAATAGTCTGAATTATAAACAAATCTTTGTAAACTCATTGCCTCCATACAAAGCTTTATCAACGTTCAATCTAAGAAGTGATTTCCAGAATTCCTGTTGCTTATTCACCTTAAAAATCAAACAGTTCTTTTTCAAGTAAAAGTGGGTTTGTTCAAGCATAGCAGAGGAATTGCAATTTGGGACAAGCAAGCTTTAGCAAAATACATAAGCAATCCAAGAAAGAAAGAAGAGGAACCTTTTTTTAATAAAGAAAAAGCGGAAGTTGGGAAGGATTGTTTTCAAAGAAATTCCATTGGAGAAAAATAAGATGATGACTGGTTCTCATTGGCTGAGGTGTTGGGGTGGACAGTTCTCGTAGACCTGCTCCTTTGGGGAACTGGCCTTGGTGACTTTCCTGTTGATGATTCTTCCCTGGGTGTCTGTCATTGACAAACCTTCCTGTAACTGAGCTCCAGTGGTACCGCATGAGAGCGCCACCTTCTGGCCTCCACATGAGTGAAATTTCCATTTATTAATTTTCACATAACACAGCAGTAAAAGGTCATTTTAGTCCCCCATCTCTTCTCCCAATCCACTATAGAAAAAAGAGAAATTATAGAGAGGAATTGTGTTAAACAAATTCATGGTTTTTTCTAACAAAAGATTGTATATACCTTATGTTTCTTGGCAACTGACAGTTCACAGAATGCACTGACACAGCATATCACATTGTCTAACTTACTTGCTGTTGAAAGAGTACATTAATGCAGGAAATGTTTTTTAAAATTTCTGAGAACCTACATGTTACCAGTTGTGCAATAGTGAATCAGGCAAGAATTCTTGTTTTCCATATGATATTGATCAAAAATTGAGGCTTAGAGTGTAAAGTTCCTTTGTCAAGTTCTCAACAGATAATAAGTGACTTGAACCCTTGGGTTTGATCTCTGGCAGCCAGACTGCAGACCCGGTGCTCGGACATCCCTTGGCAACTCTGAGGGCTCCCACCTGACTCCCTCTCCATCAGTTTTGTCCCTCTCAGCTGTTACAGCCGGGCCTCCCGGGCCTGCTCATCATCCTCATGGCATGTGACATCCCACTTGCTTGCAACCAGGGAGGGAACTGCCACTGCCTCAGGACACAGCCAATCCTCCGCCTTCATTCAGAAGTGACCCACCCTGCCTTCGGCATTCTGAATACTCAATTTTGAAACAGTCCTTCTTCAGGGTTTACTAGGTACCAGCATGATTTTTAAGAGCAGTATGAACATTCTGAGGTATTTAATCCCCTAGTGACCCTAATGAACAATATTTACTTTTAGTGCTGCCATTTTACAGAAGGAAAACCTGAGGCCCAGAGAAATGAATCTTTCTGGTGGTCACACAGCTACTGGAGTACAAGCAGGTGTGACTGTTGCTTCATACTGTCTGTAAGAAACTAAAGGGACACACAGAGCTCTCTGACTGCTCACTCTGGGTATCATGAAACACCCGATCATCATGCCGGAATCATTTAAAGTGGAATCTGGCCCAGATTTAAGACTCTGACAGATCTAGGCAGATGCCCCTGTTGCTTGCCTCTCTCCCCTATCAGCCTTAATAATCAAACACGTGCTGTCATTTCAGTTAGTAAGTTAATGATTGCATGCACGACTTTGTGTAGGTAGCACAAAGCTCTGTCCTGTTGTGTTTGAGGGAGAGCCGAGTTCTTCATCTCTCCTTCTTCTCTCACAGTCATGCCTCCTCCAGCCCATTCCTGCTCCCAGTGATCCACTGCATCTGTCCTCACCAAGGTCCCCAATCATATTCCTTTTCCCTTTACGGATCAGGCCTTTGCTGACTACCCTTTATGTAAACTCTACTTCCCACAGCTTCCGTCCCATGCCTTACTTGTTTTCTTTGGAGGATTTACCATCATTTAATAGACACTTAGTGTTTTGCTCCTCCACTTTCTATACTATCTGCCTTCTCTGTTAGGTGGAGCTCCAGGAGGCAGGGATTTGTATCCATTTTGTTCACTGTATGATACTAAGCACCTAGAACAGTGTCCAGCACATGGTAGTTCCTCCATAAATATTTATCCAGTTACTGAGTGACCGAATCATTCTGGAACTCATGAAATCTTCTCTGGTCACTCCTCAGCTACTTCAAGCCCCTTCCTGCCTCTACTTAACAAAATGTTAGTGTTCTGAGGTCTCCATCGGTGGAGGGTATAGCTTAAGTTGTAGGGTGCAGGCTTAGCATGCCCAAGGTCCTGGCTTCAATCCCCAGTACCTCCTACAACATTTAAATATGTAAACCTGATTACATATGCCCATCAGAGATTATTATAAGGAAATCTCAGAGACCTGTCAGGTCTCCATCATCAGTGGCTTGTTTTCTCACTCTATTCACTGTGTGCATCATGTTTGCAAGGTTGTTCTAGGGTTCACCTGAGGACCACTAAGAGAGCGCACATAAGGTATCTGTATCAGGCCTTCACACAGAAGGCTAATAGTTATCATTTGAAAACATACAAAACATAGGAAATTGATATAAGTTCCACAAGCAAAAAGCTCACGTGCACGTGACTTGTGTGACCATGAGAGGTGAGCTGTGTTCTACTGAGTTGTTGCTCTGGGTTACAGCTTCCCATGGCATCTGGACCCAGCATGAAGAACCCCGTCTGTCTGGTGGAAAGACAGAACAGCCAGATGACAGTAAATCCAAATGCACTGAAGTTTCTCGACCAGATATCTCAGCCTGTGGTGGTGGTGGCCATAGCAGGGCCGTATCAGACAGGAAAGTCCTACTTGATGAACCGCCTGGTGGGACAGAACCATGGTGAGTGCTGTTCAGGGCTGCTCAGGGCTGTGTGCTTGGAAGCAGGGATAATGCAGGTGCTAAGCGTCCTCCTCCAGAGTCCAGCTCAGGAAGAGCATAACCCCTCCCACTGAAGGGCACTTCAAACTCTCGGCACCAAATTTATAACTTCATCCCCTTCTCTTCATGAAATGTACTCTTTTGTCCAGTAACAGGGAATTCCCACACCAGTCAAACAATCTACCTCCTTAGTCCTGATCCCATCCACTTTCATCTGCTCAGGGGCTCATCTACAGTCAGTATTCTCTTCTTTTCTCCTTCATCACTTTTGTCCTAAACCACAGGGTCTTTTCAAGTAGCACACAAACACTGTTCAATATGTCCTATTTTTTTAAAGGAATGGAAAGAATAATGGACATCAAAATCCCTGGATTCCAAATCTCATTGGGGTTACTATCCTTTTTTATGGCTTTATTTCACAGGAAAACTTTCATAAACTATACTTTCTCTTTCTCTATATAGTATTTTGTATTATGTGGAAAAGAACACATATAGAAGCGGGCATAAGTATATGTATTTTATATATATATATTCATGTGTGTGTGTACATATAGAAAGATAGATAGATAGATAGATAGATAGATAGAGAGAGAGAGAGAGAGAGAGAGATAATAAAGTCAATAAAGCAAAGTGATTATCTATTCAGTCACTGCTCAGGTCAAGAAATAAAACATCACCAATCCCCAAAAGCCCATGTCACATGCCTCACACCCTCACTACAGCTAAGCGATGTTTTGATTTTTGTGCTGTATTCTTTCATGCTTCCTATGTACACATTAGTTTACAATCTATGTATATGTTTCTGAAATGTAGCTTGGACTTGTTATAGGAAGTTGCATGCTGGTATTAATTAGAATCTTGCTTCATAGTCTTGCTAAGTTGCTTACGAGGTCGATCTATTTCATCATAAGTGTCTGTAATTCTTTTCACTGATTGAAGAGCATGCAGTTGTCCGAAGTCACCACGGAGTATTCACCCACTGGTGCTGATGGACATTGTTATCACGTGCAGCTCTGCTGCTTCATGAATGTTGCTGTCATCAGAGTTTTTGTCTCTGTATCCTAGTGCGCGTTTGCAGAGCTTCCTTGTGTGATGTGTCCAAATCTGGACTTGCTGAGTTAAGGAGTCTTTCTGTCTTCAGCCTTTCTAGATGGTATTGAACAAACTTTTAAGCTTCCTGTTCAGTGTGTATGCCCATTAGAAGTAATTAAGTATTCTTCACATCCTCATGAAACTTTAGTAAAAACACGTTTAACTTCTGCTGATGTGGTGTGTGTTTGTATTCGCATGTTTTTTGTCTCAATACAATTAAAGTTGAACACCTATTCACACATTTATTTGTGATTTACATTTCCTATCTGAAGATGTTGGGGTTTTTTTGAAACAAATTGCTTACTTGCTTCTTATTGATTTGTAGGACAATCTACCTACATCCTGTTAAGCATTTGTGTCTGAAAAAAACATTCACCATTTCTTTCCTAATATCCTCCTCTGTGGCTCAGTGGCTCACAGTATTAGAGGGTAGGACCTCAGTCCACTAAACTCAAATGATCTCAGGAATGTCTCACTGTCTCTCTCAGACTCTCTCTGTATTTCTCTCTCACACTCTATTTTTTTCATTTCTTCTTCTCTCCTTCTTGCTTTGCAATCTCTCATTGGTTGCAAACAAAATACACAATCCACAATCCTTGTCTTTGTTTTGAGGAACTCTTTACCAACAATCAAGGAGTTTTCTTTGCCAGATTGAACATCTTTTTTTTTGAGGAATTCAAGATTTGAGAACTCTAAGAAAAAGATACCAGACAAGGAGTTTCAACAGTGTGTTTTTATTCTACTTGAGATAATATCAGGCAATAAGGGAGTGATTTCCCTTATAGAGGAAACTCCTACACTATTTAAGTTTTAAAACACCTGTACTGCGACCCACCACACCAATCATATCATAGGAAGAACAACACACACAAATACACACAGAAACACACACATATTAGTGCCCAATCAGAGGGTGAGCAGAAGCAGGTCACCACTCTCTCCTTGTGATGACTTCTGTCTGGTCCTTACCTCTCCTTACTGACAGTGATGAGCACCAGGTACACCTTGTCTTTTCTCCTGGGGATGGTCAGGTTGCTCTGCATTGATCAGCAAGGAGTCAAGTACGAATATGATGTAGAATAGTGTGTATCATCTCAGGTTTTATAGCCCCTCCGTGCAGAGCACACCACGTGTGCAAACTGAAGGGACTGATCCATGCAGACTGCACTCCCCTCGGTGTGTCATCACATCCATTTCTGCTCTCAGGTGCAGGTGGCATTGGCATATGACAGATGTTATAAATCTTGGACAAGATATATTAGCTTCAGCTTCTCAGGCATACACTTCACTTCTCCCCTTGTGGGTTTAAGCCATTGCAAAATAGAAGAGAAATTCTGACAGGTCTTTTCTGCTTTCCCTTCTGGTATATCCTGAGGCAATGAACAAATAACTCATCGCTTTTGAGGAGGAAAACAGAAAGGAGGAAAATCCAGAAATAAAGGGGAAGAAGAAGAATCTAGCAAAGCTGACATATCAGTCCAGGTGCTGGAAGGGCACTGATGATCCACTTAAATGGTAACAGGATGGTCAGTGGTGGGGCAGCAATGCAAGCACCAGCAGGGCATAGTGAACCAGTGAAGAAGCTGGAGGCACCCAGGGAGTGGCAAGAGCAACAGCCAGGCAGCCATTGTAACTCCTGCAGCCTGAGGGGACAGGCAGTGAGTGTATTCCAGAATGTGCCAAGGACCAGAGCAACTGGATGGAGCTAAATGAAAGGATATGTGATCAAGAGAGAGGAGCCAAGGCTGGGTGGAAGAAAAGCCAGGTCCCTGCTGATACTTCTCACTGGTTCATCTCTATCAGATAGTGGATCAAGGCAGCTCTTCGGTGTCAGATAAGAATAAAAGGGAGTAGTAAAGTTTACATTAATCTCAGAATGTGACAGTTTGAGCCATTAATGGTAGGAGGTGAAAGTGTTTCTTGAAGAAGGTTATGAAGAGGTACAGAAGTTGGATTTGCTGTTCTTGCTTAAATGGAGGAACCTCCCTTTCAGTCAGGCTTTCACATGCAGACAAGGGTAGCCAAGGTAAGCTGTGCTCACCCTCAACTGTCTGCCATCACTGTGTGCTGTTTTCTTCTCTTCCTTTGCAGGTTTCTCTCTGGGCTCCACGGTGAGGTCTGAAACGAAGGGCATCAGGATGTGGTGTGTGCCCCACCCCTCCAAGGAGAGCCACACCCTGGTCCTTCTGGACACCGAGGGCCTGGGTGATGTGGAAAAGGTAAAGCAGAAAATCTTCTTTGCTATTGATATTCCACTTAAATTTTAACTTATTTTAGTTTTAAGTTTTGGAGAGAGGGGATTAGTTTTTATCCTTTGAACAGAGATATTAGTGATCTCGAACCCAGGCCCCCATGCATGCTAAGCACATACTCTACCACTGAGCTCTACCCTGCCCTTCCACTTACATTTTAATTTCCCATCTCAATTTAAATTTGATGACATATTCCTATATACTGCAAACCCAGTGATGAATAAAGAGACTAAATTCTCGTCCCTTGAATATATTCCTTAATAAATTAAATACTTTGAGTATTAGAGAGATATCTTACTTTTTACATTGGGGTGAAAGGTACAAGTTAGCAAAGACTTACTGGGCATCAGAATTCCAGGGCTTTGTGTTTAGTGCCACAGATGTCACAGTGAGTGAGGTCTTGGCCCAGGGATTCATTGGGGAAATAAGAAATATACAGAATTAACAGTACACAGAAAAATAGGTACAAAAACTGAGAACCTAGCCCTGCTGCTCAGGTTTGGGTACACAGCCTGCTGGAAGGTGTAACCCATGTGATCAGGGAATTCTAAAGGTCAAGGTGTGTACGGTTAATGGGGTTAGAGGCAGAAATCAGGAAAATATGGTTTCAGTGATAGACGCTATTTCAATTATCTCCGGAAAATTTTCAACCACATCAAGGTCTTTCGTGAATATTTTAGTCAAGCATCTGGGCTGTGAAGAGGGATTCCTCAATGACGTCTATAAACAGTGCACTCGGCCCCCCAAAAGCACTTGACACGGGGTAATTGTAGAAGTTCTGGTTTTACAGTCCAGCTTGCAGTCATCTTTTCCCCTTTATATTAATCTGAGTCTATGTCACAATTAGTGGCCGTGAAACTTTAGTATTCATTACTGCAGAAAAGAGCTGTCATATGAATTCAGATATTCTGAATTTAAACATTCAGGTTTAAATATTCAAGAATCACCTCGGTGTCAACCGAAGATGATCTACAGCTCCTAATAGTCCGTAGTTTGCATAACCCTCTTCTTACCTCATTGCATTTGTCAAGGAAACAGAACATAGCAAATTGTAAACTGATAGCAGACGAACACCTGCTGCCCTCACTACATGTCATGATAGTATCTGACTCCCTTCCAAAGCCACTCAGTCTTGCTCTCATCTTGTTTTCAGCCTCACCATCTCCTAGCACTGGGATGAGTGCCACTTTAGTCAAATAAATAGCCCTGTGATTCCTTTGTGGGGCCAAAGTTTCTGGCAGTACTGATTCACTTCTCCTGGTACTTCCATCTGCACCAGCCCTTTCTCTCCACAAACCCATGTTCCATCAGTTCTTTAAAGCCCAGCTATTTTCAAATGAATGCCATCACACCCCTGACAGACATAAGCACTTCTGGCTGTGAATTCAGAGTACTTTTCTTTGTCTTTTTTTTTTTCTGCACTGCATCTTTGCCCTTCACATGAGAGGATGTGGATCCACTCCAGGCAGTTTATCATCCTGGATACATTTATATATTCACACATGTATTGTCCCATCTAGAAAGCCATGCCACTGGTGCTAGGGACTGTCCTGTGGATCTTTATAGCCACACAAGCAAATGCAGTATCTGGTGTTTTCTAGACACACAATGAACAGCTGGTGAGCTTAGGTAAGTGGCATTTGAATCCCTAACGTGGCCCATAATCAAGAGAAATTTGCAAAAGCATCATTGCTCCCTTATTGCTTAGCTTCTTTGTGCCAGAAAGTGTATTTAACACATGACACACATTTATGGTGTCATTCCGTTCTGCTAAAATCTAATGGGACTGAGACCCTGAGAGGGGAACACATCATCATGGGAAAGTTTGGGTTTGGCATTGTTTTGAAGTTTCTGTCATTTGCCGTGCTGTTGACTTACGGTACAGCTGACATAGAAAATGACCAAGTGAATCAGAGAATGGGGTGTTGACTCCCCGCTGCTTTCTAGGGTGACTCCAAGTGCTACTCGTGGACCTTCGCCCTGGCCGTGCTTCTGAGCAGCTGCTTTGTCTACAACAGCATGAGCACCATCAATCACCAGGCCCTGGAGCAGCTGCAGTATCCTTCTCAGACCGGAGGCCCTGGGCCCAGTTCACTGAGTCAGTGGGAATGGCCGCTGTGGCTGCTTCTGCTTTCCCGTGACTCCGTTCTCATAGCTGAGGAGAAGGGGAAATGGGGCAGAGAGGAATGCTGATAAAACTTGTTTTGGGGGGCGATCTGGAAATTGTGTTATGGGGCACCTCTCATTCCTTAGCTAAGATCCCAGCTATGTGGCTGAACTCACAAAGCTGATCAGGACAAAATCCCCGTGCAGCTCTGACGATGGAGAGGACTCGGCCGATTTTGTGAGTTTCTTTCCAGACATCGTGTGGACTTTGTGGGATTTCATGTTGGAGTTGGAGTTTGATGGACGCCCCATCACTGAAGATGAGTACCTGGAGAATGCCTTGAGGTTGATACCAGGTATCAGAGCATGGCCATGCTGCTGGGAGGGTCAGGAGGTCATTGGGTGCACAGAGCCCTGCCACCCAGCACGTGACTTCAGTCTTTGTTTGAGTTTGGACTTGTGCTGGGTGAACGAAAATTGCTGTAGCTCCAGTCATTATTCTTGTGAAAAAACCCCAGTGAACAGAGTTTAAGTTCACAGAGGAAACTTAGAATTCGGTGGTAGACCAAACGATTTCATGAAATTTGATGCCGTGAAAAAGCAAGGCTCACACACTAATTTTACATATGAACTACTTCTCCTTTCTTGAGCAAAATAGGTCATCAATACAGAAACTGGTAAACACAAAAGCACAAGGGAAACCAAAGAACTTATTTTTGAAATATATTTCACCCTGCATATTGTGCTTGTACAAATAGCCACACCCCTCATAGGCAGGCTGTTTGCACACTGAAGAGTTCAGAAACAAAGCACAGCCATGTTCTTCCAGGAAGACTGTCCAGTGCCTCGTTTCCTCTTCTCATAACATCACACTTCATTCTAGAGCCTTGCCTGAGATGTTATATAATAAATTAAATACTCAGCTTATATTTAGGAGAGAGGATAATGGTGGTACCCAAAAGGAATATGTATTTGGTTTATTAAACATTTATTCATCCTTTCAATAAATATGTTTTGAGCTGCTGTCCTATGCCCAGAAATGCTCTGTATGATACTGTCACATCCAATATAAAAGGATGCAGAGGGCTGCTGAAGTCCAAGCTTCACGTAAGCTAGTCTCACCATGAGAGGGCGTACACTGAAGCCAATTCCAAATATATTTATAGAATGTCTATTTTTTGACTCTGAGTTAATAAAGCTGTTCATTTACTGTCCTGGGTGTTATCTACTCTCCACATGTGATCTTCCCGGCAATGGTGTAAATATCCTGACCATGACATTTCTTTACTGCCCACATATCCTCTCTGTCACAGGGACTGTCATGACAGAAAAATATTTCTGACAAGTTTTTGGATTAATGTATCTTTGAAGAAAAATCTAACAATGAGTTGATCCACTGCACATCATGCAAGAGCTGAGGAAAATAATCATAAGTTTCTTCATTTGGAACAGATGCCTCCC